AGGAGTCACGTATGATCTTCTAGATTTGTTTTTAAATACAAAAATGTTTAGTAACTTCAGTTGAAAATGACCATATCTTAAAACATATTCTAATATCAAATCCGCTTTATTTCCATATGCACTACAAAAAGAGAGCAACTCAAAGGCACACGTAGAAAAAAGCCAGTGCTGAATGGTAAGAAAGTTCATTTTGGATTTTTTAAGATTTATGGAGTGATCAATCTGAAAATGTACGCATTGGGTTTGTCTTGGGTAATTTGAATGTTGAAGGGCTTAATCCTAAAATACGTGTTACCCAAACATTGATAAGATACTGAAACTGGGAAACGGAGACACATCGATATGGAGACACATCGATACGAACACATACGAAGACCCTCGCCTCATTTAAGGGTTCATATAAAAAGGTCCTTGAAGTTCTTTAGATATTCCCGATCAAATAGAAACTAAATGCTAAAGCGCTTCAATACTTAAAAAACCTGGATTCTGAAATGCTTGTCGGCGATTTTGCTACAAGGAGAACAGACTGAACGGTGATGGAAATGTTGGATGAAATGTTGGGTGAAATGTTGGATGCGCTTGACCGGGGCTGTACACAATTCAGAATATAAACAATAGAGGTTTTGTGAAGGAAATAGATAGTTGTATGATGTGGTCAGCTACAAAAAGCTACATGTGATGGTTATTGTGTTTGATTAGAAAACCGTTGCTAAGTAAAAAAGCCATAGCTTTTCCAAACACAGTAACAAAATTGGATGTTTTCCCGAATTCCTAAGGGCGTGGTCAGCAAATATTTTCTCCCTTTGCTCCTCCAATCTTCATACCTTGTCTATGCCACTGCTTCTTATTAAGAACAGAATTTTAAAAATGGATGTTTCCAACATTTACTAATGACCTGAAGGGTGTGGCACCAAGATTAGTGTCCAAAACCCCCAATCATTGTTGCTTAAATCCGTCCCTGCAACTTGCTTTCCAGTTTACCATATTTAACTTACTTTGAGCAGTAGGTGTCCTTTATTACATTTGATTTAACCTTTCATTTCAAACTTTGAGGTGCGAGGATGGCCCTGGCATAGGAATAACTAAGTGTGGTCACATCGAAAGAAAGGACCAGTACACTTCTCGATATGAATAGCTTTTCAGTGTCCTAAAAACTACATTCGGATGCTTGGTGAAAACAAATACATGAAAAACAATTATCATCTTTAATCAACCTTAATTTAATCCTGTTGTTCCTTTTTCTGTTTTCTTCTGTCTGATGTACCACGATATGTTTCTGTAAATTATCATACTGTTACTGTTTGAGGTGGTTGACATTAAAAATCTAATGAAAGCCCCCCTCAAATATGCGCCCTTTCAAATGTGCGCCCTTTGGTGTATGCGGCCCCTAAGAAGCCAGCGCCCGAGGTGCTAATTCGAGGATTTATAAATAAATTGCAAATCAATAGAGAGGATAGGAAAGAAAATGGCAAAACATTTCCGTATCTAAACAAACGAATTTTGCTGTTTTGACATCTTGGTTTGCGCCATGTTTTTCGTGCCATTTGAGTTACCCAATGGTCTGGCAGTATAGATCAGGGTGTCCAAACTGCGGCCGACAGGCCAACTCCGGCCCGCATTCCAGTTTTCGTTGGCCGGCAACAAGTTTTGAAAATGAAATTAAATACAGCCCACACTTAGGGTAATAGCTATTGATTCATCTTATGATTACTGGATCATTTGAATTCTTGAACAAGAGTCCAAAAGGCAAAAAACAGCTGGTGCTATACCCAGTGGCGCAGAGAGGGGGCAGGGGGGAAATTTGTCCCAGGGCCTCGGCCTGAAAGGGGCCCCCTAATTATTCTAAAACAATTTAAATTATCTTTTTTTGAGAAACTGAAAATGCATTCAAAGATATATTTGTTAATATCGAAAATGATGGCAGTAATTTCATTGGGTCCGTACACTGAGTCTTGTTTGAATTTGAGGCCTATCAGCTTTATTTATCGAGTCTGGGGCCCCGAGAAAACATTAAACCTTAATATATTTAAATAGCTGAATAATCCTTAGATCAGATATTTTACGGATTCATCTTTTAAGCTGAGTTTCCCTGCGTTTCGCAAAATCGTACTTATTGGTGGAAGGGAGCCCTGATAAAAAATTAGGTAACCCATATAATCTTGTTTTAATCTATGGCCCGTTCAAGTGACTTATGTTTGCATTTAGACTCGTTGCATAAAGCTATATTATATTTGTGGGGCCCCTTTCAACAAACTAGCATTAATTGAACCTTCTAAAAAACCCGTAAATATATTCTAAAAACCGGACATTTTTGAGACATTACGTTATGTCTGTGTAAATGACACAAAAAAAACGTGTTACATAATCTCCTATTAGTCCAGAGCAAAAGGGACTCGTATCTGATTATAACTACTTTAAGATTCGATATCAATTTGTTCTGAGGATAACGGGGGGATAACGCTCGTGAGGAGGAACATAGGTTCACGTTTACAGTTTTGTAGTTTAATGCTATTTCACTGCAGTTTTATCATGCGTACATTAAGTACAAAATATTCAGCGTTACAAACTTAAGGGCAAATCTTTTTTTCGAAAATTTATTTGTCCGAAAATAAATTCAGAGTTATACCAAAAAATCTGCCACGCCGAAAACTTTTGTATGAACCACGCACGCGCAATGTCTATTGACTAAAGCAAAGGCTACAATTTTTAAACTTAAGTGTCTGCAAAAATTTTGGAAACAGTAGTTCTTCCAAGCTAACAGCAACATCAGTACAAACAAAAAAACAATGTTCTCATCTTACTCAACAGTATCAATGCTTTGACCGAAATCGACCGAATAACACAAAAATACAGTTGTAGCACCCCACACCCCATTCTCCCGGTAAGTGTAAGTCCATCTCTGCATAAAAGCAGTGCGAATTTCGGCTGAATTTTGATAAGAACTTGAGCTTTTCTTGCTACCGTCGAATAAAGTAGCTAAAAAATTGTCTCATGTATTATGTCTTGCTATAGCTGTTGCTTCAATTCTTGTGGAACCATTTGTGGAAAAAGAATGATCCCGGTGGAAAAATAGAAGCTACCTTTTGAGACAAAATAAATAATATAATAAAAAAAATATTCCTGATGTATTTACAAAATACAGAGAAACAAGCCACATCCGTCGAAAACCAACCACCCCCTCCCCCTCATTCTCGGGTTACGCTACCCTGGGTACCAGACTCACTATATAAAATAATAGAGAGTCTGGTCTAGTGCGCCCCATTCTCGTTCTGGTGAACTTACTTGAAAGAACTGAAGTCTATTTAACAGACTAGGCCTGTGAAACAAGACTGTCGGATAAATAACAAAGAAACTCAGTAGTCAGAGGAGTTTTGGGAAATCTCAAAGCAAATGTGTTTTATATAGTTCTGTAAAGTCGACATTATTAATACAGCGGTAATAGACTTTTCTGCCTCAAGATTCCAATCAAATCAGGTTTAAAACGCCATTTGGTAGCAAAAAACATATGCGAAGCATGAAATTAAAGTTAGCACAATGCAGTTATTTAATGTTAATCATTATTAAATTTCGTATACAACTTAAAATAAGTATTTTGTAATTTTCCTCATAAATTTTGTGTACTTTCAAAGTCTACTTCCTCACTGTGAAGGCAGCGCGGTTGGACACCGCGGCGGTTAGAATCATCACGTTGGAAGTTCACCACAGCAAATATGGCCAATACGACAAGCGAAGCCCCGTATGCCGGGTGAAATATTAGCCATAACTGATTTACTTGTGTTTGTTGTTGTTTGTTCTCGGCGCCTTGCGGTGTTTCTTATTTACTGCATTTCACTACAAGGCCTAATTTCTTTCCAAGGAGAGGCACAGCCTTAAATATCAGAGACTTTCCAAAGCCAGTTGGCAATATGGCGAAGGTGTCTCTTCTCTCTACAAACAAGGCTTTCAATGCTGTTCTGTGTTAAGTTCCACAACATGCGGAAAATATTCTTTGAGTACAGTTATAACAGCATCTTCAAACTAAATCGTTACAGTCGCTAGCATTTATTTATGTTCTGTTCTGTTCAATGTTTTACACCAGAGCTAAGTTTATTGTTTCGCCGTGACCTTTGAACGTACAGAAATCTGTACACTCGCTCCTGATTGGTTAATATCAGCACACCAGAACGAGAATGGGGCGCACTAGACCAGACAGACTCTCTATTATTTTATATAGTGAGTCTGGTACCCAGGGTAGGGTTACGCATAATGTATTCTGAAATATCACTAGTCTAATAATCTACAATAGAATCAATAAAAAATGAAGAACTAAAAGCTGAGAACTGAAAACACTCGATTTTCGTACCCTTTCGTTAAAGGTATGATGTTCAAAACAAGAGCAAACCTTAAAACGAGGCGAATATGCAGTTGATTTTGTATTTCTATAGTGATGTACTCTAGTGTCTCTAATAGAAGGGGGGAGGTAATAGAAGGGAGGTTGTTCATTCCGGTCAATGTTCAATAGAAGGGGAGTGCGAATAGAAAGGGGTGTTCCATGTTGTTGTGTATGCGCGCGCGATGCCTAAGATCCGCTGCGACCTAACGCTAGACCTAGAGAGCACACGAGACAAGACGCCATGTTTTCACTCCGACCCTGATCTAATCTCCTCTATCAACTCCAATCCGAGGCTAATATAAAATGGTTTATGCCTAATACATTACATTCTCCCTTTTCTTGAAATTGTCCTCTAGGGTTTCTATATGAGTTTTGTAAACGTAACCAAACAAACAATTAATATAAACAATGTTCTTCAGCTTTAGTCCTTCAGCGTAGATGATTGTTCTTCAGTGTCAGCAAAAGTATATGTGATATTCATCCATCAACAAAACAAATATATAATCTTCAAAGTTCCAGCTTCGTGATTATAATGAACATAACTAGTAGAACTCCAATGTGTTGCTCAATCAACTTGTGCAAAGTCAATCAATATAAATATATACAACCTCCTGTCTGTCCTTTTTATTCAGTTTTTCTTCTTACGACTCCTTCTTATTGGAAATTTCTTCACTTGTACTTGTTCTTGAATGGCTGTTGGAACAGAATCTGGTACAAAAACTGGTGTTCTGTTGCCAATATCTTCTTGTATGTCTTCATTGCTTTGTTTATTCCAATGATCCTCAACAATTCCTTCCTTAAACCTATTTTCACTATTTTGATGCATGTCAGCATTATCACTTTCATGCAAACTAGAATTATTGTTTTCATTTAAGTGTGGAGTGTTATTGGCGTCATTAGCATTAGTGATTGCTCTATTCGGTCTGCGCTCGGAACGCGTTGGCCTTGCGACATTTTGCGCATTGTCAATTAAGAGTTCCTCTGCTAAGATGTCTTCCTCTTCATCTGTGTTGTGTGTGTTCTCCTTTTGAGGTACTGTTTGTCTGTTTGATTCACTCTCATTGTATTTCTTGAGATGAGCTTTGTTCCTGTAAAATTTGTTTCCTCTTTCATTCTCTAGTAAAGCACTTTTCCTGTAGATCTTGATGACTTTGAATTTCTCATTTAACCAATTTGGAGATAATTTGTCATTTTTCCAGAGATTCTTTACTAGCACTGTGTCTTGTTCCTGAATTTCACTGTCTTTTGCATTCCTTTTGATGTCTGTGTAATTTTTCATTTTTCCTTTCTTTTCTCTGTCTTTCCTATCTAATTCTGTGTCTTGTGATTCATCCTTTGCATATTCTGGTATGTCATTCTTGATACCACGTCCAAAAAATACTGTAGCTGGGCACTGTCCTGTTGTTGCATGTGGGGTTGTTCTGTAGAGAAGTAGAAACTTGTTCAGCTCTTCTCTCCAATCTTTTCCTTCTGCGTGTGCACATTGATTTGCCTTTTTGAGTGATCTGTTGAATCTTTCAACTTCACCGTTGACCCATGGTGAATACGGTGTCACATTCCTTAGCTTTATCCCATGTTATTTGAGGTACTGTTTGAATTCGTCTGAAATGAACTGTTTTCCATTGTCAGCAACTAATTTGTGCACGTAACCAAACATAGAAAATATCTTATCCAATGCTTTGATTACCGTCTTTGTGTTGATAGTTTTGACTTGTGCAACTACTGGGTATCTTGATCTGTAGTCTATGAGTGCTATTAAGTAATCCTTTGTTGGATATGGTCCTTGAATGTCCAAAGCTACTGTGTGCCAATTTGTTGAGGGTATCTTTGTTACCTCAAGTGGTTCAAAATTGACTTTATTGGATCCTGTTACTTGACATGCATGGCAATGTTTTATCAAGTTTTCCACTTCTTGATCTATTCCTGGCCACCATACTTTTTCTCTAAGTAATCCTTTAGTTTTCACAATGCCTAAGTGATGTTGGTGTGCTGTGGCAAGTATTCTTTGTCTTAGATCTGTGGGAATTATTAGCTTTGTGCCTTTTAAAATAATATCATCTTTGATCCAGAGGTCTCTCCGGTTCAGAAAATATGGTTTGTATTGTGGACTTTTTGACCATTTCTCTGATTTGATCTGTTCTTTGATGTTTTTCAATATTTCATCATTTCTTGATATTTCTTGAATTTCCTCTATTGTGACTGATTTAGGAATAGCATCATAAACAATTGAGTTGATGAAATGTTCTGTATCATCACTTAACTTTTCTCCTGTAGCTGGTAAAGGTGAACGAGATAGTACATCAGATGCATTTGTGTGTCCTGGTTCAAATTGAACAGTGAACTTGTATGGTTGCATTTTTAGTAACCATCTTTGCAGTCTTGGTGTAGGGCTTCCTCTTGCTGATAATAGTTTTTCAAGTGGTTTGTGGTCAGTTACTATTGTAAATTCTCTGTCATACAAATAGTAATGAAACTTCTGTGTTGACCAAAATGCGGCTAAGCCTTCTCTTTCTGTCTGAGAATATCTTTGTTCTGTTGGGCTTAATGCATGTGATGCATAAGCAACTGGCTTGAATTGTCCATCTTGTTGTTTTTGAGTAAGGATTGCTCCTAGTCCTACTGGTGAAGCATCTACAATAACTTTTGTGTCTGCATGAGGCTGGTAATAAGCCATTGTGCTTGCATTTGTAAGGCTTTCCTTTAACTTTGTGAAACTTGCTTGTTGTTCCTTGTTCCATGCAAATGTAGTTTCCTTTCTGGTGAGTTTCCTCAGAGGTTCCGTAAGTGTAGCATAGTCTTTGATGAAGTGTGAACAAAAGTTGACTAGACCTAGGAAACTTCTTACTTCTGTTGCATTTGTTGGGACTTTGGCATTGTTGACTGCATCCACTTTGGATTTATCTGGATGAATTCCTTTGTCTGTCAGACAATATCCTGCAAATGTGAGCTTTGTTGTTCCAAATACACATTTCTTTGGATTGATCTTTAAGTTTCTGGCATGCAATGCTTTGAATAGCGTGTCAAGACGCTCTGCCATTTCATCTCTACTCGATGACCATATCAGAATGTCATCTGATATTGACCTTGTGCCTGGGCAACCTGCAATGCTTTGCTCAATAACCTTCTGAAACTGCTCAAAGGCTGAACTGACTCCATACACAAGACGTTTTGATTGAAAACAACCTTCATGTGTTAGAAATGTTGTTATGTGCCTTGATTCCTCTGCTAACTCTAGTTGGTGGTACCCTTCTTTTAAATCAATCTTTGAAAAGTATTTTGCATTATGCAACTCTGGGAGGATTTCTTCAACTTTTGGAATCTGGTGTCTTTCTCTTACTATGGCTTCATTGGCTCTTCTCATATCTAAACATAATCTTATGGTTCCATTTGGCTTTGGTACTACTACTATTGGGTTTATCCAGGTACTTGGGCCTTTAACTTTCTCTATGCAGTCATTTTTCAACAATCTTTCTAGTTCTGCAGAAACTTTCTTTCTTGTATGATATGGTAATCTTCTGATTGGCTGCTGAACAGGAATGACATTTTCATCAATATGTAGTTTTAACTTGTAGTCTTTGAATTTACCCATGCCTTCAAATACTTCTCTGTTGTTGTCCAGAACTTTCTGAATCTTAGGATCTATTTTGTGTTCAGTTGGCTTTTCTTGACTGATTTCATTTACTGATTTGTGAAGTGAATTTGTTGGATCTGCTTTAGAACCTAGAACTGGGCCTACTCTTAAAATATCAAGCTTTTCTGCTGTCTTTTGTCCTAGCAATGCTCCCCCTGAACCTTTTGTGACATAGAATTTTGCTTGGGTTTCTTTCCCAAATGCTTCAGCTTTTGCTCTGAATGTTCCTTTTAGTTTCAATGGTTCTTTGCCTAGATAAGTGAATATCTTAGTCTTGCTGCTTTCAAGTTGTGGTTTTTTTGGCAATTTCTGAAATGATATCTCATCAATGATGTTCAATGTTGATCCACTGTCAATGAGCATATTTATTGGTGTGCCATCTATATAGACTGGATATACTGGTCTTTCCTTGCTTCCAATTTTGAATACTGATGTTTCATCATCACTTGAACTTTCTGTTGTGACTTTACTTGCTCTTACTTGATGATTTTCTGGTTTCTTTGGATTTTTGGTCTTGCAGCATTTTGCAAAGTGTCCCATAATTCCACATTTCATGCACTTTTTTCCTTTTGTCACTCTACAGTCTTTACTGTTGTGATTCTTCATTCCACATCTTCCACATTGTTCCCTTTGTTGAGTGTATTTTTGATTTCTGTTTGCTTGCCTACCTTTGTGCTGGTATTTATTTGGCCTTATTTTATTCAGGTCTGAGAAAGATTCTTTCATTGTGTCAGCTGATGAGCCTGCACCATTTTGTTGTTCTATCTTCTTTGTCTGAAGGTCTGATTGTTCCATGAGCTTTCCTATTCTTAGAACTTTATCTAATGTGAGATCTGGCTCTTGTAGCAATCTTTTTCTAAGCTTACTTGATTTGCATTTTGCTATTACTTGATCTCTTATCTCATCTTGTGTTGCATCACCATATTCACAATGAATGATTAACTTTTTCAACCTAGTGACATATGAATCTATGTTCTCTCCTGTTTCTTGACCTGTTTCATGAAATACACATCTTTCAAATGGAATATTTTTCTTGATATCAAAATGACTATCTAACTTATTTACTGCCTGGTCATATGTTGTGCCTACCTCACCTAATGTTTCAAATATGTCTTGCACTTCATCTCCTACAAGATGCAAAAGTGCTGCCCTCTTTTGGCTATCATTTTGAATACCTGTTGCATTCAGAAAATAAACGAACGATTTCTTCCATTTTTGCCATCTTTGACTTACCGTGGAAGGATCTCCTTTTGGATCAAATTCCTTAACTGGAGGTAATTGAATCGATACTGGTTGAGGTTGCTGCGCCTGGCCTATTTGATTATCGTTTTCTTCCATATCTCGTATTCTCTTGTCGAAATTATTACTTTCTAATCCTTCTTTGGGTTCTTTAGATAACTCGTCGCCATAATATGTTGTGTATGCGCGCGCGATGCCTAAGATCCGCTGCGACCTAACGCTAGACCTAGAGAGCACACGAGACAAGACGCCATGTTTTCACTCCGACCCTGATCTAATCTCCTCTATCAACTCCAATCCGAGGCTAATATAAAATGGTTTATGCCTAATACATTACACATGTTCAATAAAAGGGGGTGCTAATAGAAGGGGGTGTTCATGTCGGCCAGTTTTCAATAGAAGGGGATTGCTAATAGAAGGGGGTGTTCAGGTTGGCCAATGTTCAAAAGAAGGGGAGTGCGAATAGAAAGGGGGTGTTCATGTCGACCAGTTTTCAATAGAAGGGGGTTGCTAATAGGAGGGGCTGTTCAGGTTGGCCAATTTTCAAAAAATGTCAGCAATGTTCAATTGCAAAGGGGAGCTAATAGAAGGAGTGGATGTTGGTAAATCTTTTAATTAAAAGGCAGTGCAATTAGTAGGATGGTTAGAGATAAAGATAGAAAAACATAACATGGGGAATTATGACAATTAAAAAAATAACTACATAACATAACAAGGGGAATTATTAACAAGTGAAGATTGCGTGTTCTGGTCATGACAGATTTGTAAAATTTATTGGAAGGGGGTGCTAATAAGCGACGGGGGGAGGGCAAATTCTTCTGAAATTAATACAAGGAGGGCCCGTCTTTTAGAGACACTATAGTAGTAAGGTTTCCAGCCCCTATGACAACGAAATTCTTCTTTTTTTCTCTCAGTTCTAGCTCATGGTTTCTTTTTATTCTAGCCCTCGGCTCTCCCCTTACACCGCAACGAACCTTCCCTTCATTATGGAACGCATGTGCATATGAAAATCACACCCCAAGAGAAGACACCCGAAAGGCTTAGAGCAGGAACTTACTTGCCCGTAATAACGCAAGATTAAAATTAAGAAAATTATGGAAATAGGTTTCTAGAAAGGTCAGATCTAACGTTTTTAAAGAAGGACACGTATAAACCTTGCTAAGACGACACTGAAACAAGGTCAACTGTTCTTTTAAAGTATTTATTTTTACCAGCAGCTAGGGCTCACAAATATGTCTATCTTCTATTCCAATAAGTACTGCCGCCCCCCCTCCTTTACCGTGACAATTAAATAGGATCCAATTTTATATTTTTTTGTTAATTGCAGATACAAAAACAGATAGCTGAAAATAATTATGAAAACGCTGTCTGGAAAGTCGCAATATATCGTGGATGTTGGAGACTGTGAAACAAGTCCGCTCTTAGGGCGCAAGAAAGCCGAGAGGCCCGAAACTGAAACCGAGGCCGACAGACCATCGCCTAAACTGTGCCGTTCCATTTTAACCTTTCTGAATCTGGGCATGCAAACGACTGCTATAAATGCCACTTTTGCTGGTTTAATTGCAGTCCTTATTTGGTGGCTCGACTTGAATTTAAGCTCATACTGCTTTGGTAAATCATGGGATGATATTCCAGTGGCATTTCAGCGAATGCGTTTAACC